ATATTTATTTTTTAGTTCTCGGCGGACACAACATCTTTGTTGGTATGTGGTGCTGAGGATCGAACCCGGGCCGCACGCATACCAGGCGAGCGCGCTACCGCTGAGCCATATCTCCAGCCCGGGAGGCAAACTCTTGTTGAACTCAAGAACACTCAACCACCGAGCCACATCTCCAACACTTTTTTTGAATTTATTTAGAGACAGGATCTCATTGAGTTGCTCAGCACCTCTCTGTTGCTGAGGCTGGCTTTGAACTTGAGATCCTTCTACCTCAGGCTCTCTAACCGCTCGGATTACAGGCCTGCACCACTGCGCCCCACTCTTAAAAGACTTTTTAATTCTCCTGTGAAATCAAATGCAATAGTTCTTCCTACATTAATTCACCCCTTCAATAAAGATTTACCAAGTGCTAAATCTGTGTAAGGTACCTGCCCTAATCAGTTTCCACTTATTATAAGAGTATGAAAAAAAGAACAAAAAAATCAGAGCTAGACTATTATTGATCTTGGTTGTAATAAAAATTCCTCTGCAGGGCTGGGACTGTGATTTAGCAGCAGAGCGCTTGCCTAGCTTGCATGAGGCACTGAGTTCGATCCTCAGCACCACATAAAAATAAACAAATAAAAGAAAGGCATTCTATCCATCTATGACTACAGAAAAAAAAAATTAAAAAAAAAAAACCTTCTGCAGAAAATACCAAGCAATACAAAGACAACTTGCCAAATACTAACATACCTGTCACAGCTTAGAGTAGCAACATATTGACCCAAAGGATCCCAGGTTACTCCTTGTACATAGCTTTTATGTTCATTAAAAATTGAAATCTTTTGTCCTACAAAAAAAGCAACAGATTACCAAAACCTCCTTGGGAACAAATTGTATAAACTATGACATAAATATTATTCCCTTTATTCCACTGCATCATTCAGCAGGCAGCAAGAGACAGGCTCTGTTCCAAACCTGTGACGGCTGAGGACCCAGAGCTGACTCCACACAACCCCCACACTCAAGCTCATAGAATAATGGAAAGCCAGGGCAGCTACAGACAGGTACAACACAACGCAGATCAGAGGAGAAGCAGGAGTAAGCATCAGAGAAGACCCGATGTCTTCACATCCAGCAGGATGTAGGGGAAATGAAAGGGAACAGGAAGGGTATTCTACAACAGCTGAGCTCAGCATAGATGGTGTAGTGACAAGTAACTGAGAACTGCTAATGGGTAAGGTGAGAGCCAAATCGTGAGGAAAAGAGATATAATCCAGATTCCCTGTGGGTGAGGAAAAGGCACAGGCATGAGCCAAGAACACTCAACTGGGAAGTGACCATGTTTTAAAGATGAAACTGAGGCTCAGGAGAGTTGGCAAAAATGGTCACTAGTTAGGAGCTCAGCTAGGAAGGGCCTGAACTGGTGCAATGTTAATAGGGATGGTGAAGAGACTTTAAGGAAAATACTCGGAAAATAAAGCCAGCAGCACAAAGAGATTCCCTGGATAAAAAGGAGTTATGGAGCCTTAACCATTTTTTTCATCAACCAATTTTTTATTTGTTCAATTCTTACATTTTAAGTATTCTCTGATGACATTCATCTCATGCCAAATCCTTAACCATGGCAGACTGCAACCAACTAATTGATGAAGTTCCCTGTGTCATTTTACAATGCCCTACCCATTCCCCTCATCTCTTGTCATCAACCTCAAACAGACTGATTTGATGCTCACACAAAAGGCTTCCACCAACTCACACATACAAGCCTATCGCACAGGATGCAAGCCTACAAGGATGCTACATTCATCTGCAGGCCTAGATTCTTCTGCAACAAACATCAGCCTGAAATCCTACTAATTTAACTTCATACTCATTTTGCTAACTTCTAAACAAAATGAGGCTCCCTATCTGCTCTTCAGAATGTGACTAGCCCCAAACTTACAGGTTTGCCAGACTGTTATACTTCACTCATAATAGGAGTGAAGAAGTATTGACACTTTAAATCATCATTCAAAAGCCTAATCGTTCTTAAAAAATGAACAAAGCAATCAAGAAAAGCCTCTCAAAAGTGGTATGCAAGTCACTTTCCCAGCACTTCACTTTGCAGTCGCTCCCCACCACCAGCGAAACCGTCAATCTTCAAGCTGCCAGTGACATACACACACAACATGCAACATACATGTTTCAGTCTAACTCCCTGCCCTTCTGCTCTACTTTATGGCACTTCTCTTTCTCTCTCTGAAACTCTTTTCTGGAAATCTGCTGGGATTGAGGTGCTGGGGTTGAGAAGAGGGATGCAGAAGACTTCTGAAGATCTGAAATAGCTAGTGGGAGAAGGCAAACAGGTCTGACCCTGAGAAGCAAAAGGAATGCAGGCTTGGAAGCAACTGCACTCAGCCCAGGCTGGGGTCTGTGAAGGTGGACGTGGAGATGGAAAGACAGTCAGAGGGACTGATGCGCAGGTATATGATTCTGTTGGGGAGCAAGGCAGGGGAAATAACAGGCCAGCGGGGCTGAAAAACAGTAATCAGAGAACTTAGGATTTGTGCACACTGGAAGACAAAGCTGAGGGTAAACACATTCAAAAACCTGAAGGAGATGAGGTTTTAGTGAAAGAGCAGGACCCTTGGTTGACATTGGCAGAATAGTTAAGCAACAAAGGTCTAAGATGTATCCTTGACTTTAGTCGCCCTGATAAAACTATTTCCCCCCACAGAGTCCCTAATCTCGGGAAATGGCACCAATATCCACCTGGCTGCCAAAAGCTTAGAATTATAGCCAGCCCATCAGCAAGTATTGTCAAGTCCCATCCTCCCTCACATTTACTCCATCCTGTTCCTTGGATAGGGCAGGCGACTCCTGCCACAGGGCCTGTTCTTGTAGTTCCCACAGGTGAAGCACTCTTTTCCTAAATAATGTACACAGTTTGCTCTCTCACTTCAGTCAGGCCTGTTTGTACAAGGGCCCAAAGCTCACGGTAGCTCTCCTAAACAGCCTTTCCTAGCACCTATTTTGACATTATACCAATCTGTGTATTTGTCCACACCCCCCACCACTACCATGTAGCCATTTCAGATCCATTGTTGTCAGCAAATACAGTAGTGGCCTGCATACTCATAATGTTCAAGGTCATTACAACTGGCTTGAGGGGGTACTAGATGCACTGGCCTCACAGAACTGAAATCATTGAAAACAATGGCCAGATGTGGAGAGGACAGAAGACAGTAACACTGGAGCTGGGGCCGTAGCTCAGTGGTAGAGTGCCTGTCTTGCATGTGTGAGGCCCTGGGTTTGATCCTCAGCACCATATAAAAATAAATAAATAAACAAAGATATTGTGTTCATCTACAACTAACAAAAAAAAAAAAAAAGACAGTGACACTGGTCCTTCATCATGCCAGAATACTGGATATTGATTAGTGAGAGGATGACAGACATAGGCTGGAAAGAGGATGGCCCAAATGGCTGGATAGAACAGAGATTTTTAGAATAGATGAAAACTGAACTGATATAGTAGACAGTAATGGCCAATGCCAACTCCACTCCTGGATTCCCTAGCCAGGCACTTGGGTTGTGAGACAGTGAGTTGCCTGCACATTAGACAAGAGTACAGGAAGAGTCTGGGTGAGAATAAAAGGTCTGAATAAAGGACTGTAGGGGATAAAGATGACTGGGAATTAGCTACTATTGGGTTTGGAACTCACTGCTACTTATATACCACTGCAACTTCTGACATAGCGCCTGTCTCCCAGAACAGAGAACAAATGCCGTAAAGGCAGTGGAATGTCTTCAGCTATCCTTGATTTCCTAAAATGGAAACCTGATCGCACCTACATCAACCAGGATGCAATGCACATTAATTACAAATGACCAAGTCCTCCACTTGGTGCCTGTACCCCTCATGTCTGCCTCCCAAGCACATGAGATTTGCTTCTCACAGGCACCAGTAACTCACAACACCACTGCAAAGCCTCCTACACTCTGAGTGGAGCCCTAAAAACTGAGTTGGACTCATGGTATATGGGACTAATCCGTCTTCTCTTAGTTCAATCACCAATTTTAGTTCACTTAAGAAACTTTTCTTATGGCTTTTAAAGATAAAGCAGGCTAGACTTTTTTAAATACTTAGAATATTCCATCCCCCACTAATAAAAAATCTCTATTACCTTTACTAACATCCCATATGATGGCTGTGTTATCCACAGAGGCAGAAGCCATTAAATTCCCATCAGTTGCCCAGCAAATATCATAAACATCTTCTAAGTGGCCCCTAGAACCCAAATAGGACAGAGAGGGAAAAAGTCATTATCCCAAAAAGGAAAAGGTTGCTAAAATTATAAACACAAACTCTGGAACCATGCATTAGAATGAGATTCTAGAAATTTCCACAAGAATTATATTAGCACTGGCTATAAACAACTGCTTTCAAAGATATTTGTATATTTGATATTGATTACTTTCTACTAAGGAAAACTTTATAAAAGAAAATCCTCTTTAACTTATTTTATCTTTTATTGTCTTATGACTATCTCATATAAGTAAGTTTTAAGTTAGATATAAAGGTCAAAAGGCATATTCCATTTAATGTGTCAGGTGATAAAGATAAATCACTCCCATGGTCCCTCCTCAGGTCACCTCAGGGTTTTTACAACAGTCCAGTTCTCCTTATTCAGCTGAGCCTCATCCTCATCCTGAAAAGCAATCTGTTCTGGCTCCTTGTTATCATTCACCTTCCACAACAAAATGACAGCATCTGTGGAGAGATTCAATTTCAGATAAGCCATGCTTCACTGCACACTCTTCCATTTCTGGATTTTTAGGGCATTAAACAACATTTTTTCTGTTCAATGGACACTGTGGCCATGATGATTTACTTTTGTTAAAAATCTGGACAGAAAGACTAGGCTTGCCTTCTAAACTAACATTACAAAAGAATCAACCTCAGACCAGAGCTATATAAAGTCACCTTAAAGAAGGATCCCCATAGTCGGCAAAATGCCATTGCCTTAACAAATTAAGGCATAAGCTACATGTAGCGGAATAGGGAAAAAAAAGGTGGGGGGGGGGGCAAAGACCCACCAATGCAAAAGTTTACAAATTGTTCCTTTGTAACTTTCAGCAAGTCACTGAATATCTGATGACTCAGTTTCCTCAATATAAAATGAGGGGGTGGGGGGCCTGTGGCTCAATGGTAGTGCACTTGCTTGGCATGTGTGAGGCACTGGGTTCAACTCTCAGTACCATATATAAATAAATAAAGGTCCTCAACAATTTAAATATATAATTTTAAAAATGACCCTTTTAAAAAAATATGTATATATATAAAATGAGGATAATGATAATATACCTACCTGATTGGGCTATTGTGAGGGCTAAGTGGGTCAATATGCATAAAGCATTTACAACATGATGCTTGGTGCATGGAAAGCTCCATTTAAGTGTCAACAATTAATTCATTATGGATGTACCAGTCACCTTAGCCTGATGCTAGCTAGCTATGTCTTGTGCCTGATGACTCCTCACATTTTGACTCTACACTTCCTACAAAACCTTCTGACAATGATTTAACTTCCTGTTTAAAAATGTTCACAGGAGCAAAGTAAATGGATTTTGCCAATGTATAAACATATGTGTCCCACTCAAACTTGACTGGAATCCTGGTTGCATGCATTAGTCTGGGAGTTTGGCTGACATGATTGGCTCTGACAAATGGATACTCTACATATACTGAAGAATAGCAGGTTTCCAGGTCTTCAAGGCCAAGAGGCTTTGCAAAACCAGAGCTGTCCTGTGCAACTTCACAGGAGACAGCCTTTGGCCTCCTAGTGGTCTTCCACCCTCTACCTTTTCCTGTAAACACACACACACAAACCACATACATATGACACACTCTGAGCCTCATAGCACTGAACTCAACTATTTCCCTTTCCTCTTGTTCCAAATAAAAACACACATTTGCTTTATCTTATACATTTCCTAGACTATTTGAAAGTAAAAGGTTTACTTTTCTGTATAGTTTTAGCAGACTGAAAATCTGAATCCATCTGCTCTTACCAAACAATGACAAGTTAGAAGGCTAGTCATTAAAGTAATTCCTGAAACCAATTAATTACACAGAGCCATGGAACCCACTCTAATCACCACAGATATTAAACAACCAAACAGAGCCAGAACTGTTGCAATACTGACAAAAGACAAGCACCCTTCCTGCCTGATTTCAACCATCTTCAAGGGAGCAAGTGGAAAAGAACTGTTTTCAAGCAGGTCTTCTAAGTTTAATATTGTTATCCTCCATCTCCTCACTCTGACACACTTGCCCAAATAGTATTTTTCTGAACTATCTAAATGCCAGATTGAGAAGATCAGTGATACCTGAAATAAAAAGGATATTTAGCTCAAATGTCACTAACTAACATGAGACAAGTAGGTATGTAGATCTCAATGGATTTTTGAAGTACAATACTCACCATCTCCTCCTGATGCTAAAATTTCCCCAGTTGGAGAAAAACGCACCACATTGACAGCTTTGGTATGACGAGCAAGATTGGATAAAAATTCCACAATGGCTTTTCCATCTGGTCCTTTTTCTACCTTCCAGATCTGTTGATACCAAAACATTCACTTAAAAAAAAAAACAAAGAATGAGCATTCACTACCTTGCTTGTACTAAAACATTTCTATGCTTATTTTCAACAAGAGAATTTAATTTTCCTTTTGAAACACAAAATGAAGGAATCTCTCCTTTCAGACCATGAACTATTCAAGAACAGCAGGCAGGCTTTGAGGTCAACAGATGTGGGTCTGATTCCCACCTGGCCCTTTCCTGACTATGGATTTGGGCAGGCCTCACACCCTTTTCTGATTCAAATTTCCTCATCTGCAAAGTGAGCTCAACCATATCTCAGGTAGGTAAATAGTGAGAGGAGGAAAGGAGGTGTCCAAGTTCCATACCTGTGATCCTCCCTCCCACAGCTTTCTAGAGAAAATTGTTACTCCAAAGGAACCCAGACCAGGATTCTAACATAATGGGCATCCAGTTGGAACAATGTAGACACTATTACTCAAATAAGAAAGCTACTCTCCCTGGTGATGGTAGTGCACACCTGTACCTGACTACTCAAAGAGGTTGAGGCAGGAGAGTTGCAAGTTTCCCATCAGCCTGGGGAACTTAGCAGACCCTGCCACAAAATAAAAGGGCTGAGAATGTAACTCAGTGACATAGTGCTTGCCTAGCATGCAGGAGGCCCTGGGTTTCATTCCAAGTTAGATTTTTTTTTAAAAAAATTACAAACACTACTCTGTCTCGCTTTCATCGCTCATTTCAGGTTCTAAGAATTTAGCATTCTGGGCTGACAGAGCAACCTGAGGAGGATGCCATAAATTTTAAATAAAAGAGTGAAAACTGTGGCTCCAAGTGGGGCTTCCCTGGGTCTTCGGTCTCTGTCCCCTTTACCCTGACAGCGGTGTCCACCCCCGCAGACGCCAGTCGGTGGACCCGGCCAGAAGTGGCATGCTGGAAGTCCAGGCTGTACACAGGCTCCTTGTTGTGCCAGGCTATTTCACACGTGATGACTTTCATCCTCCCGAGTTCTGATGGGCGGTCCTTTTTCCGAAGGCAGCGGGAAGCTGGATCAACTGAATTAAGTACCAGTGTGGGGCAGGAATCCCGCTACCCGCCTAAGTGCGCGCCGCCCGGGAAAGGACGCCCCCTACCCCGACTTCCCACCTGCGCGCTCCACCCCCAGCGCCGCCTCAGCTCAGCGTCCCACCGCGCAGGACTCCCCCGCAAAGCCGGAAAGGCAGGGCGACCGGGGACTGCGGCCGCCGCAGGAGCCCCGCTGGGCGCAGGCCGGAGGCGAGGGAAGGGTCCACAGTGGGGCCGYCTCGGGGAGGGCGCCGTCTCCGGAAAGGGCGCCGCGGAAGGCGGGGGAGGGAGCTCGCGGGCAGGGCCTCACGGGCGAGGGACGGCTGCGGGGTCCACAAGACCCCACCTCAGGCTCGGGCGCAAGGCAGCGGGAGCCCGCCCGGGCCTGGCGGGAGGAGGCTGCGCTGGGCGGGGCCGGCTGCCCGCCGCTCGGGAGCCACCCCGGCCCCAGCAGTCTGCCCGCCTACCCGCCAGTCCTCAGCGAGGCCCTCTCACCCCGGCGCGGCGAGCGCGGAAAACCTGCGGGGATGGGGGGTCAACCCCAGGAAGCCTACCTGCAGGGAAGCTGCCAGTCCGCGGCGCCACAAGCTCCCGCCGTTGCGCGCGCCACTTCCCGCGCACCGCAGGCTCCGCCTCCCTAGGGGCGGGGCTCCGGGCGACTCACCTTGTGGTGGGCGGGGCTCCGAGGTGCCCGCCTCCGGCGCCCTGTCTGGTCCACCGCCATTCGGCGGGTGGCGGGTACGAAGGAGGGTTCCTCCTGCAGACTTAACGGATTCCTGCAGACTCGCTGGGACGAAAGAATGGATGAGACTATAAATTATTTACTACGATCACTTATTCYCTTGGTTCGATTTTTTTTTTAGAGGGGCTACCAGAGATTGAACTCATGGGCACTCGACCACGGAGCCCCATCCCCAGCTCTATTTTGTTTTTATTTAGAGACAGGGTGTCACTGAGTTGCTTAGCTCTTCGCTTTGGCTGAGCTTGTTTTGAACGTGCGATCCTCCTGCTTCAGCATCCCTAGCACCTGGGATTACAGGCATGTGCTACCGCGCCCAGCCCCTTGGTTCATTCTTGCAGCAAACAGGTACTAAGCATCTGCTATATGCTGGCCCCTATGCTGGCACTGGATCCTCAGTAGTGAGCAAAACTCAAACTTACCCTTGGGGTATTTACAGTCTCATAAAAGATAGGTCAGGTGGGTAAACAGTTTTGAGACCTGCCCAAAACGTCAAAATGTGTTCATGAGTAGTTGAGTTATCTGAAAAGAGGCCAGCCTAGTCACTGGAGTTTCAAATAACAATAAAATAGAGACTGTCTTCCAGGAGCAATGTACACAATTACAATTAAAAGGTAAAGTGAGGCCCGGTCAGGTGGCGCACCGTGGCTCCGCAGGCTGCAATTTAAAGCCAGCTTAGCAATTTAGCAAGCCCCCTAAGCAATTCACGGAGACCCTGTCTCTAAATTTAAAAATTTTAGAAGGGCGGGAGAGGTGGCTCAATGGTTAAGTACCCCTCGGTTCAATTGCTGCTACCAAACAAACAAAAAGTACTGAGGAAAGAGCTCAGTGGTAGAGTATCCTGGGTTCAATCATCAATGATATACACAAGTACAAATAAAAGAGCCACAATTAAGGACTAGGGTTGTGGCTCAGGGGTATAGCGCTCGCCTGGAATGTGAGAGGCCCTGGATTTGATCCTCAGCATCACATAAATAAATAAAATCGAGATACTGTGTTCAGTTACAACCAAAAAATAAATATTAAAAAAAGAGCAATAACTTAACATTTTGAAGTTGTACACCAATCAGTAGGCAAAGACAAATACACCAAGCCTTTTTAAGTGGGGTAAGTTTCCAAATGAGACTTGGCCCACCCCTGAGCTTCCTATTAGATCAGGAAACAAATGTCATGGGATGCCTTGCTTTTGCTTGATAAAAGAAATGCACAGGTTCATCTGAGGAGACTTTTCCTAGCATTTTTTGAAAGCTGGCTAACCGGGTATGGTGGCACACTTCGTAATCCCAGCTTCTTGAGAAGCTGAGGCAGGAGGATGGCAAGTTCCAGGCCAACCCCAGGGCAACTTAGTGAGACCCTCTCAAAATAAAATAAAATTAAAGGCTGGGGTTGTGGCTCAGTGGTAGAGCACTCAGCTAGCACAGGCAAGGCCCTGGGTTCAATCCTCAGCATCACATATAAATAAATAAAATAAAGGTACTGTGTCCAGCTACAACTAAAAAATAATTTTTTTTTTWAAATTAAAGTCTGTAGCTCAGTGGTAGAGAACTCCTATGTTCAATCCCTAATACCATTAATAGATAAATAGGRACTGGGGTTGTAGCTCAGTGGCAGAGCGCTTGCCTAGCACATGTGAAGCACTGGTTTAATCCTCAGCACCACATTAAAAATAAATTTTATACATATATAATATATATATTATATATATATTAATGTATCTGTGTAGGTAGTCAATATTTTCTGAAAGAACATACAAAACTAGATGAAGGTTACCTGTCGAGAGGTATTGAGCAATGTTCCATTTACACTTCCTCCTTGACTGCCCCAAGGAGAAAATGGCCATGCTGATTCAGTTTGTTTCATAAACAACTTGAGTTCATATTTAAATATTCATGAGCAGAAGATACAGAACAGTAAGTCTCAGCTCTGATGGCACACTGGGAGTGGGAAGGCCTTAAAAAAATACTGTTATGGGGGACTGGGGTTGTGGCTCAGTGGCAGAGCGCTTGCCTCACACCTATGAGGCATTGGGTTTGATCCTCAGCACCAAATAAAAATAAATAAATGAATGAATAGAGGTGTTATGTGCATCTACAACTAAAAATAAATACATAAAAATACTGTTATGGGGTTGGAGTTAGTGGTGCACACCGTAATCCCAGTGGCTCAGGAAGCTGAAGCAGGAGGATTACAAGCTCAAGGCCAGCCTCAGCAACTTATTGAGATCCTGTCTCAAATACAAAGAGTGGAGATATGGCTCAGTGGTTAAATGTCTCTGGATTAAATCTCCAGTAATAAAAGCAAAAAAAAAAAGGAGGGGGGAGGGCTGAGGATGTGGTTCATAAATTAAGCACCCTTGGGTTTAATACCTGATACAAAAAAAAAAAAAAATCCAAAAATACTTATCTGGGTCCATCCCCCAAAACTGACTTAATAAGAATAGAGCACAAGCAGGTATGGTGGTGCATGCCTATAATCCCAGCAGTTCAGGAGGCTGAGGCAGGACGATCTTGAGTTCAAAGCCAACCTCAGCAAAAGTGAGGCACTTTATCAGCTCATTGGGACCCTGTCTCTAAATAAAATACAAAATAGAGCTGGGAATGTGTGGCTCAGTGGTGCCCGAATTCAATCCCTGGTACCCCCCCCCAAAAAAAAGGAATGGGTGCAGACTCACTAAGTGTGGTAACGCATACTTATAATCCATCACCAAGTTCAAATCCAGTAACTTAGTGAGACTCTGTCTCAAAATGTAAAATTTAAAATAGGGGTAAGAGGAAGATGGGGATGTAGCTCCGTGGTAAAACACTCCTGGATTCAATTCTCAGTATAGTACTTAAAAAGAAAAAAAAAAAAATCACTTAAATGATTCCTCAATGACCAGTATGACCCAAATATAAGAACCAAGCATCTGAGATCACAAGGCAGTATGACCAGCAGGACCTCCCCCCACATTAGAATTTGAGGCCCAAAGGAAGGACACAGGATATGTTCATTGCGCTTAGTCTGTGCCATCCCTCAGCATTCACTACTCTGTAGACTCAGTTGACCAAAGCAGGTCTAGACTGTGATTTTTTTTGGCTTCCTCATACTTTGGTTTTTGCCATTGTTTGTCTTAGAAGAAAAAATTTTTAAGTAAGACTTCCCTCCAACACTAGATTTCTACAAACTCAACAACAAGGAAACTGATAAGTCTTGCAAAAGCC